TCCTTCGATATATGAATGCCAGGGTCTGGAGTGAAGCTTCCACCATTACAGTGGTTCTGGGTATTGAAACCCCCTTGAGTCTTCTCTTGAAAGAGAAATTAGGAGCACACAAAGAATGCAATGCAGAGACTAAAAGACTCAACACAGTCTCAGGCTGTGAAGTAAAGACCATCTAAGCTCTTTAATTCACTGTTGGTCAGCCTGACCTTGGGTCCAGAGATAAAATGCAAAACTAACCCCTTAGCCTGTGTCAGAACAAAGGTAATTAGGATGAAAACATGCTCATAGCACAGACTGCACTCTTCGCATCAAAATCTTAGATTTAAAAAAATTGGAGATCATGATTCTGTATACCACACACCAACTATGTGTTTTACCTGGCACACCTTGAGCAGATGTTCAGTGTGACTTTGGCCTGTGGCTCCGCAGGGTGAGTAGGACGACCTTGGTTAAATTTGCTCCCAGAAGGTACCAGGGTGGTTACGCCCTCCATTCTTAAGTCATCTAGATCTTCTGTAAAAACACAACAACAGAGAGAATTAAATCCAGTTGGATTAAACAGAGAAATAACATGTTTTACAGCACCTACTAGTAAATTACTGGTATTTTGTATTTTCTATGAAAAAGAACAACTCATGTATAATTATATTGTCCATATTTTTTCTAGATGTAGTTGTATCAAAGGCAACTACACAGCCTGACACCTCCACCTGCATTCTGAGGGGCTTGTCCACTCAGAATAAGAGACCAAAACTAGGGCCATTTTAGAAAAGAAGGCCAGAAACAGAACACGGGAACTCCACCCCATATTCTGTGCAGCTGGCTCACATCTATGACCTTGTCCTAGATACTAGAAAGTCAGATGCCTGCCTTGTGACAAGGAACCAATCAGAAGTTAGCTGGTGGCGCTATGCTTTATGACTCTGGGTGTGCTTTACGGACAAGCACACAGCAATGACGCACAAAGTATAGCAACCACCCTGGGAGGGCCTATGGGCCATTACAACCAGTTGACCAATCAACACAGGGCAAGCCCTCCAAGCCTGGAGGCACACCAATCGTGAGCCTGTGCGTACCCCTAGACACTCCCCTTACGCTGTCCTATAAGATCTCTTGGGAGGCCCTAGCAGCCGTCTTTTGCTAGCCATCCACCATGGCGGGTGGGGGAAAGACCCGAGCTAGCATGGGGTTAGCTCGTTAAATTACAATAAAGCCTCATGCAGTTTGCAGCAAGCTCTCGAATCCGCCTGATGATTGGGGTGACCGAGAACGTGGCCTGGGACCCGGGATACCTGAGTTTTCCGGGGATCTAACACCAGGAAAAGCAGAGCTTCAGAAAGAATAGATAACCACACTGGCCCTGATCCTGGCAGGAAGAGCAGATACCTGGATTAGTCAACAGAGTTGCAAAACTACTTTTTGGGCACATGTTGTGCCAAAGATTAACCTATGGAAATTCCCCAAGTTCCTTTAGACACCCCAACCAATTGGCTTTGAACCTGTATCCCTTACTCTATCCTGTGGTTTTAGTCGTTACAAACCCCTTGCTTACGAGGCAGTCTGTGGGACAAGGTCCCTGCCTAGTCTTGAACTCAATAAAGAAACCTTGCACTTGGATTAGGTGAGTGGGCCCGAGTGGTAGTCACTCTGGGGGTCTTGTGGACCAGGCATAACAAGTTAAAAACAGATTTTGCCTATACTAAAGAATCAGGGTCAGATAGTATGAAGCCACATCAGGTTTATTAAGTGAGACAGACAAATGGTATGTCCAAAGCAGACATTCAAAATAGCTGTATTGGTGACAATGTTCTCAACATAAGGACTCTGACCAAGTAAACAGAGGGCTAAATTCAGCTACTAGGGTATCTCCGGCAGGGTAGGTTCTGCTTGCCAGGAAAGCAGATCTTGTAAAGAAACCCACCTTAGCCCTCCAGGAACCATCCTTAATCCACCTGCAAAGGTCAACTGCTTGGCAAGAACATCTAATTGCCTCATTCCCAGTCAAACTGGACAGCCTGTATCAGCCCACAGACCCCCACCTGCTGACTGTCCTATGAAATCTACTTGTTTCCCTGCCATTTTGTTTCTTCCCCCTCTCTGAGCCTAAGAGACAGCTTTGGCAATTTGATCACCAATAAGTCTTTCTACCCATGGAGTGGTCTAGTTCAGTGGGTTCACTGCATCCTCACTTACAGTGAACATGCTCTAGTGTCTTGATAGCAACAAGAGTAAGTTTAAGGCTTTTGAAATTATATTGTTGAAAGGATGTACTTTACAACCAGTACCACAAAGTAAGCCAAGTATGAAAAGGTCATAGCATCAAACTGCTTTGTAAATACAGAACTCTATAGGCTTAGATGAGTGCAGCTCCCCCAACTTCTATCCCCTCACAGAGTTTCCTCATGCAGTGGACAGCGGTTGATATGCATAACTAGCCCAAGTGTAGGTAGTAAGTATCTGTGGAGTGTGCATCATAAGGGTGACAACTCTACCATACAGCCTCTCCAAAAGGCTCTAGAACAGCACTAAAGAGGGGACTGTGATAAAACATTGTCCTGTGGACATGGCAGGGTCACTGTACCAATGGAGTCACAGTAGCTATGGCTGCTTTGTGTACTAGTGCATTGTGCCTCCACAATAACAAGTCAGTCTCAGTCAATGTTACAGAAGGTTTGCATGATGGACACATGAACTCCCCCACCTAGCTAAGGAGCCATCTATAGCTGATGGCTTCTAGGGGAGGAAGTCAGTTTTCTTTAGGGAAATGGCCCCTGGTAGGGTGACCAATGCTCCAATGAAAGGATACAGAAAGACATCCCACATTAGTTTCCTTTTTGTTTTTGATTAATTGTATTACATTTCTCTCTCTCTCTCTCTCTCTCTCTCTCTCTCTCTCTCTCTCTCTCCTCCT